AGCAGTGTTTTGAAATCACAGATGAGCCAAAAAAAAAAAAATTAGGGAAAAAAAAAAGTCAAAGACCAAAAGATGCTTTAAAATGTGTAGGAAAAGTGTTTCTGAATCAGCCCAAGGAATGTCTCATAGCCATAAACCCACAAAGCATCCAGAATGTCATTCCAACATTCACAGTGGCAATATTCATATATCAAAGCCAAGGTGCTTTGAGCTTCCAACTTTTTTTAGGATGGCATTCATCTTTCTGACAAAAATAATTATGGAATACTAACCTGCAGCAGCTTCAGGCTCGCTAGGAAAATATTACCTCTTCTCCCATCCCCAGTCACACCTAATTTAAGAAGCTAAACTTGTGATCATTTGAAAAAAAAATAAAAAAGCAAAATGTACAGAAGTCACCAGAGATTTTTATCTCCCCTGGAACTTTTTCTTGTGGAAGTTGCAGGACAAAACACACCCCCAAAATATGGGAATTAGAGATCCAGTTTTAACTCTCCCTTGCTCCTTGTGCCATTGCCTGGTTATCCATTGTTCCCATAAGTAGTTATGATTTTCCCTGCAGTAGTGTTGACACAAATTAATTTGCAGTGTCTGGATGCCACACAAATTCCAAGTGGGAGTAAAAAATGCCATCAATAGAACAGCAGAAGGAAAAAAGGACAAGCTCAAAATTTTGGATGTAAGAGCCAAGTGCAGAAGCAGAATCAGTCAGAATCCTGCCCAAGGAATCCTGCACAGGGAATGTGGGGGAGCTTCCTCTAGGAAAAGGAGAAATGGTCCCATTTTTAAATTGAATTTTTGCCAGGTGTGCAGCATTTCTGCCTGGAAAACTCCTGGATTTGCATCTGCAACTCCACAGCACCAGAGCGGGAAGAATCGCTTCCCTCTCCCCCTCTGGCAGGTGAAATCCTTTTTTTATTTACAGGGAAAGTGAAGCATTTCCTCAAGGTCAGGCTTTCAGAAGTGACTCAGAAATCAGAGCTCTCAGCGACCCCCAGCAGAATCCCCTGGGTTTGTTCCACCAGCCAGGAACGAGCACCAGCCTCGCTGCTCCTGCTGACCAGGGCCTTTTCTGTTCATTTAACGTGGAATTGAGAAAAACACACAACTGTGCTGCAATTACCAACAAAATACAACATAAAACTATTGAGACATTGCTGGCAGTGACCGCTGGTGAATGCCAGGGATGAGTCATGTGGGAACCTTTCCATCCCATGATTCCAGGATAATGAGGGAGATTCGTTTCTTTTCACGGTTTGCACACAAAATAAAATTTCTGCCTTTGCTGGAAATGCAGTAAATAAATGTTGCTGTGGAGTAAAAGCTCCTGGCAGCTGGGAAGGAGATGTAAGGAACAGCAAATGGTGTGATGGGATCATGGAATCTCAGACCGGTTTGGGTTGGAAGGACCTTAAATCCCATCCAATTCCAACCTTCCACGGTCCCAGGATGCTCCAAGCCCAATGTCCAACCTGGCCTTGGGCACTGCCAGGGATCCAGGGGCAGCCACAGCTGCTCTGGGCACCCTGTGCCAGGGCTGCCCACCCTCATTTATTAAAAATCATTAATGAACAATCACATCTGCAAAGCATTTGCAATTAATTTGTCAAATTAAACTGTCTTCAGCCATCAGACACTTAAAAATTATATAATTTTTAATGAGATATGACTAAATCCATCTGAAATACAAGGTATTTTACCTAAATAAAAAGCTAAATGGTTCAATATGCCTTTGAAAAACATCCAGCTTAGGCCAGTGACCAAGCAATCCAGTTTATAAAGCTAGAGCATCTATAATATCATTAATTAAGCAGTTACAGGCTCAGAGGTACAGCCTTTGACAGGTGAACAGCACGAGGCAGGCGAGGGGAGTGCTCTGTGCCAAAACACCTGAATTCATCCTGAGAACACAGGGAAGATAAATGTAACTCGTTTCCTGAACACAGGCACGTAAATGACACCTTATTTGTTGATCATAAGGAGTGATTTGTAAAGTTCAAGTACCAAAATATGCAAATTGGCACCACACTCCACATGCTAAAGAGCAAACGGATCCTGGAGATCTCATCCTCACATGGCTCCTGCCAAACTCTGGAAAAAGCCACTCTGAGGAGTTCAAAAAGTGCAGCACGAACACCTGGGCACTGACAGCAGAAAATTCAGGAAATTTAAGCAGTAGGAATTTAGGAAAATGCCAGATTGATACAAAAATAGAGAAAATATTTGGGCTGTTCAAAGGGCTTTGGTGGCCTCCTTGAGCTGCAGGGATTTGATGTGGAGTTTGGCTCTGCCAGGGCTTGCCCAGCTCTGGCAGGCAGGGGCATCCATGAGGATAATTCCTTCAGGAGCTAAACTTTGGTGATCCTCATTGATCCCTTCCTGCTCAGGATATTCCATGAGAAATCCAGTGACATTGTCATTAATATCTGTAGAAAGGCAATGAAAATATAAAAACACTCCAGATTTGCAACAGGAAAACATCAAATTTTTTTTTGGTTCATAATTATCTTTTCATAGCCCAATTCCACCCACATGGGGCAATTATCTTCTTTCCTTTAAGGCTGTGTAAATTAATCAACAAGATCAGTTTATGTAATTCATTACATAATTTTCCCCCACTTTTACTCACACATACTCTTCTTTCTTCAAGTTGAGAGCTATTTGTTCTTGTTTAATTAATTGATGATTTTTACTTGAAAATCAAGTGAAAGTACTCCTCTGCAACATGATAACCATCATCTACTGATAGTGTGATTTTTGGTTATAAAATAAAGCAAAGCAGGGCTGGAGGGGCCCAAATGACTCAAACGATGCTGACATCACTGAGTTTAACAATACATTATATTCTTTCCTTTAAGGTTGTGTAAATTAATCAACATGATCAGTTTACATAATTCATTATATAATTTTTTCCCCCATTTTTAATCTCACATACTCTTCTATCCTCAAGTTGAGAGCCATTTGGGTTTTTTTTATTAATTGATGATTTTTACATGAAAATCAAGTGAAAATACTCCTCTGCAACATGATAACCATCATCTACTGATAGTGTGATTTTTGGTTATAAAATAAAGCAAAGCAGGGCTGGTGGGGGCCAAAATGACTCTGGAACTATGCTGACATCACTGAGTTTAACAAAAAACTTCCACAGCATCCTCCCAGACCTTGGCTTCAACCAAGTGTCATGCTGCTAATTAAGATGCTAATGAAGTCCCAGAGCCAACCACAGCAGCCTGGGCTCCGTGTGGAGCTCCCAGCTCTGGGATTTGGCTGCAGTTTGGAAAGGCCAGTGAAGATTTTGGGGGGTCAGGAGAGCCCTTGGGCACAAAGCACAGAAATCCGTGAGGAGGCTCTGTGGGCAGGGGAGTCTCTGAGTGCTCAGAGCTCTGAGGTGCTCCAGGGTTGCTATAGAGACTCACCAGGTTTGACCAAGAGTCAACACAAAATATTCCGACCCTGAACATGCTGAATATTTGAGGCACGACCTGTGGGAGATGTTCCATCTCTCCCCGTTCTTCCAGTGAGCTGGGGATGAAATCTGGGGATGATGTCTGGAGAGCTGCTCTCCACAGCTCGTTTCCTGTCACACCTGTGGGAATCAGAAAAACAGAAACTCCCACAGACACTGAAGGGTTTGATCTGCAGCCGTGGAAGAAGCTTGGATTGATGTAAAAACACAACACACAGACATTAAGCAGAAAAATCATAAACTCATATTTCTAGAGTTGTAAGCAAGAATATGCCTTAAGTAAGTGAGAAACTGTGTGGGTAAGATGGTGAAGGGTTTATAATGTAGAGGTGTGGTTAATGTGGGTATGGAATAAACTCTATTATGGAATAATAGAGTTACAATAAACTGTTTCTATCATGGAATAAACTCTAAAGAGTTTAGAAGTTATAACAGAAGCAGATGTGTGCCTGTGAGTTAGAAGCCCACTGGACAAAAGTATCCAGAGTGCAGCAGAAGTGAGTAAAGGTGATGGGTTAGAAAAGCAAAATAAACCCCGTGGCAACTGTCATTGGGTTAGAAAGTTCTGCATTGCCTTGTAACAAAGAACTTGTGACTGCTCTTGAGCTATGGCCGAATGCTGCTCCTCTAAAATCTCAGGGACTCTGAGACTGATGTTTATGTGAGCAATAAATCATTCTTAGCCTGAAAATAGTCCCATCCCTTCATTTCTAGTGGTGACAATGATATTAACAATGAGCCCTTACATGTGCTCTGGAAGGTTCACATGAAGAAGTGGAAAAGACGGGTCTCACCAATTGAGCTTTTAGGATCACTTTCTTTTCCAGCATCAGCAACCCAGTGACTTCAAACATGGCAAGGAATTAGAAAAAAAATACTGTCTATCACCATAAAGACAGAAAAATTGCCCTAACCCCAAATTTGCTCTGTACCCCAACCCAGAGTGATGTTTGATTTTCAGCAGTGTCATTTTCTCAGCCACCAAGGTCCAGCCTCACCTCAGTTGTTCTCACCAGCCATTGCCCATTGGGGTAGAACAGTGAGCTCAGCTTGTTTTCTTAAAGAAAAACATCCTGCCATGCTGCTTCACTCCCCAAAATAAATTTAAATAGGGTGAGACTGATACAAGGCATATCTTTGACATTTTTTCAGTTTTTCCCCAAACTCTTTCAACATTTAAGCAGACAGCTCATCAATGACATTCTGCATAAATGCTCCACGGTTTGAAGTAATTTTTCATGATGAATCTTTAAAGTGCCAGACTCTCTGATAAGTTAAATTTTGATTTTCTTTATATGACAAATGGTTAATAGTTGTCTTAGAGCCTTTCTGCACGATGATTTTTATCTCTCTTTTATTACGGTAATAATAACATCTGATATACTCTCTCATATCTATCTTGTTCTTTCTTAAGGTCAAAATTATATCCAGAGTTAAAAGCAGCAAGAGATTTCTCCCTTTCTTCCTCTTGGTATTTTCAGGGAATAAATTACCACATACAGGCAAATAATAGCAAATTAGGAAACCTAAATGTGATATCCATACTTTAATATGTGCTGGGCAATCAGAAACCCGAGTATTGGGATGTCATTACAACGAGGAATATTCAGGCTTGCAAGTTAATTAGGTGCTATTACATCAGGCTGTTTAATTGCCTTCCTTGCCAATAACCTGTGAAGAAGAAGAAAAGTGTTAATTCCTCTTTTTGTCTTTGGGCAGGTTTTGTTGCTGGTGTTTTATGGGATTTGTTCCCTTCAGGGTCACCTGTGGAAACCTCAAACCTTCCAAGGCACAGATGGGTGATGGGGAACAGAGGAGCAGCAGGTGGCATGTCCTGCTCCTTGGAAGGTGTGGGGATGGGATGGGATGGGATGGGATGGGATGGGATGGGATGGGATGGGATGGGATGGGATGGGATGGGATGGGATGGGATGGGATGGGATGGGATGGGATGGGATGGGATGGGATGGGATGGGATGGGATGGGATGGGATGGGATGGGATGGGATGGGATGGGATGGGATGGGAATACAGCTCCCACAGCCTCAGGGTAGCATCAACCCAACCCCAGGGCCCAGCACAGACCAGTTTATAAATTCATTCACTTATTTATTATCAACTAATTTATTTAGACAGAGCTGGATCTGAGTAGCCACATTTCTTAATTGGGTTCGCTTTATGGCAATGATATCACAGTTAAAAGGAGTTTAATTCTTCAATAAATGTCAAAATAAAAGTCATTTATTCAGTAAATTTAGGGAAATCTGGTTTTGAGTTTGAACTAGAATCAAAACTGGCCAAATCGAGTTTGGCTGCTCCAAACAGTGATTGCTGAATGATAAAATTGCTCAAGAATGGTTCTCACAGCCCAAAAATAAGGAATCATCACTGGAAATTTATATCTAAAGCTTCCAGAGATAGATACAAGTTAGAGCAAAGTAAGGAAAAAAATCCTTATAGATTCTGGAAGTCTTCATGTCCCGTCCTTCAGCCTTTCCAGCTATTGAAACCACCCTTTTCTGTCCCAAAACTCTCCCCAGATCCATCAGTCATGACACTGCTTAGTCAAGAGGGCTCAATGAAGCCAGTTCCTTATTTTTCAGATGGGGAAATTGAGTAGAAATTATTTTTCTAAAGTCACAGACTGAATTACTCAGCCAAGACTGGCCAGAGCATTTCCAAATTCCCAACTCACTCCTCAGTCCCCACACAAAGCATTTCTCTTCCCACCCTCTGAACTCTTTGATCTTTTATCTTTCTGTTAGTTAGCTGAGAAAAATAGTAAAGAAATTCACAAATTATCTTCTCACAGCATCATGAATCCCTGTTCTCCAGAAAGAAATAAAATTAATGACAACACATTAATTACGGTGCAGGTTGGCACCCCTATAGCTGTTCCCATTGTTCACTTATTACTGAAAAAAAGACATTTTCTGCCATATTTCCAGTTCCTGTCAGCATAATAATTAATGTGCCTGGCAATGGCACTGTCAGATCCTTATTTCCTGACAGAGATCACTGAGGTCACTCTGTTCTCTCCAAAACAAAGGCACCTGGAAAGTTCAGAGATGAGTTCAGCACTGCAGGGTGAGTCTCCTGTGTCTGAGATGGCCACATCAGCCCTGCAGTGACAGAAATCCTGACAGGCAGCTGGACAATCCACATTTTCCAGGCTTGCTCTGGATTTAGGTGATTTAGGTGACTTATAGCTCCTGGTCCCTTTGTTTTGTACGTACAGATCCCTCCAGCTGGAGTGTGGCCTGTCAGGGGCTGACTAAATCATAAAGAATGGGATTTTCCCAGCAGCCAATTTTTCTTGCATCCCTTATTTTTGATAAAAGGGGATGAAGGTCTGTGGGAGCAGGACACCAGCTCTGCCTCCCTCTGGAACGTGCCCTGCTCAAAGACAAATGCCAAAACACTAAATGAGTTACTCTCGTTCCTGCACAAGAAATGAAAGGGAAGAGCCTGATTTTCCAAGCTCCACGCAGAGTTCTGTTGGCTTAAAGACAACTTTGCTCATCTCAGGTTACCAAGGCAGGAATATATTTGATTATGTAGGAAAATGTTAGCAAATACAGATCTCAAAAACCAAACAAAGGTAAATCTGAGTTGTTTGGGTTTTTTACTTTCCTGAAAGATAGTTTGGGTGGGGATATGAGCTCTGCACTGGGACAAAACACCTCCATGCTCACAGCCCTGTGCAGAGCAGAATGGATTCGTGGAATCATGGGATCACAGATGAGTTTGGGACCTTAAAGCTCATCCCCTTCCACCCCCTGCCATGGGTAGGGACACCTCCCACTGTCCCAGGCTGCTCCAAGCCCCAGTGCTGCTCTTGGGACACTTCCAGGGATCCAGGGGCAGCCACAGCTGCTCTGGACACCCTGTGCACTTGGGACCTGTTTTTGCTTCTGTCACCAGCCAGGAATCATTCCCAGCCCTTCCCTTTTCCATGGCCAAAGGCAGTGAGGTTCTGCTCCTTGAGGAGTCCTGGAGAGTGTTTGAGATGGAAAATTTGCTGGACATCTGCCATGGCTGAAATGCCAGCAGCCAGGAGTGTCACAGGGCCATGCCCGGCTGCAGTGTCACCATGGTGCCACCCTGGCTTGCTCCCATCTGATAGTACCCAAGGATAATCAATATCCAGCACACTCCTTAGGCATTTTCCATGGTTCCTAGGATCCCATGGTTTCTAGGATTTAATTGTTCCTAGGATTTTATGGTTCCTGGGTTCCATGGTTTCTAGGATTTCATTGTTCCTAGGATTTTATGGTTCCTGGGTTCCATGGTTTCTAGGATTTTATGGTTCCTTAGATTTTATGGTTCCTGGGTTCCATGGTTTCTAGGATTTTATGGTTCCTTAGATTTTATGGTTCCTAGGATTTCATAGTTCCTGGTTCCCATGGCTCCCACTCAACTCAGCAACCTTGAGATGACCCCAAAAGAACTCAAGTGTTTAAGCGACTTTAAAAACCAGGATGTATTGAACTTTTCAGCCTGGACACACACGGGCAGGAATGTGTTTGATCTCCTTGGATCAGCCAGAAATCATCCAGGAAAACCTGCTGTCCCACCAGCACAGCTCCATGCTGGGCTCACTTTTCCTCATGAGCTCAGGGAGGGCATCACAGAGGTGATGACACCAAACCACCTCATTGTAGGGTTAAAAATGATCTCCTGAGCTATGATATTTAACAGGGAAATATTAGAAAACATCCATTGAGTGATTTATTGTAATTATATCACAGCTTTGACTGCAAAAGGCATTGCAGAGACACACTGCCACATTTTCAAGCCAAGGGCACAGCTGGGTTACACTCAGGGGACACAGCCACAAGTAGAACTCACATGTGTGTAACTCATCAGGTGACCTTTCCTCCACACCACATTTACATATTTTGCATCAAATGATGTTTTCCCTATTTTGGTGTTTTTTGGGTTTTTTTCCCCAACAGGAAATGAAAAAAAATCCCATATTTGGTACATTTCATCAGCTGGGTGTTGCCTACCTAAGTCAATTAACTGAGGCACAGGGAGCAGTGCTGATACCCAGCCTTAGAGTGATTTCCTAGCATTCTTCTGGATATGAGATGAGACATTTCCAGAGACTATTTCCTGCTAACGGAAATAACTATATTTATGTTTATATTTTAAATTATACATTTTAAATAATTGTATTAAATCACCAGTGGAAGTTACAAGTAGGGCCGGATTCTTTCACCAGTGGCCCTTCCTATCATTGGAAATCTGAAATGTACTTTAAATCTGCATTAAAATTACCAGTTCAGTAAGTGTAGATGTGATTTGGGATGGGAAAGCACAGGAATGCCTCGTGCCTGGCAGAGAGGAGGGATTTTGGGAATACTCCGTCCTCCCCACAGGCCGCGTGCGCACATCTCCTCAACAATGGGATTATCTTTGTATTAATCAAAGAGCAGCTTGATTCAAAACTGTAGGCCGACAAAGGAGGGAAATCAAGCACATGAAAACATTCATTTCGAGACAAAACTTTATGCCACTGTAACTTTGGGAACAAAGCCCTTCCCGAGCGCTCCGCTCGGCTCGCGGCGCTCGGACACCGACGCCTGGCGACTGAAATGTGAGTATGTCAGAGAAAAGCATCAAAAGGAACTCGAAACAACAACTGCAACATCAGATGTCAAAACCTGGGCTGGGTTTTGGGACATTTTCTCAGGGCTTTGCCCTTCGGAAGGAAGTTTTTTTAATTCCCGCTCCGACGCCGTTGCGGAAGGACCTTTTGTGGAAAAGGGACTCCGGGAGAGGCTTCCCAAGAACCAGCTCCTCACCCCTGCCCACCTTGGAGAGGCAGCTGCTCAGCAGCACCAGGCACGAATCCCATTTTCTGTACAGCTGGCAGGTCCAATAAAAAGGGTTGGCGCTCTGGAGATGAAAGGCAAACAAACAAACAAAAAAGGAGAAAAAAAAAAATATAAGAAAAGGTAAAATTATGGATTTATGTATTTGCCAGGACTTGTTCAGGATACAGAGCAAAGTAGAAACACAAAAGCAATTTATGCTTTGAATGCCAGGGATGAGCATTCATCAGATTTTTTCATAGCTTTTTATACATTTCTGGTCTATAATACTGATACAATTATGTTTAGGGTGTGATATGAATTGTTTTCAGTGATGCTGACCAGCTGTGACACAGTTTCCTTGGAACAATACAGGTGTTTATTGCTGGAAAATGATATTTTTTCAGGAAAAAATGAAATACCAGCTTTATATAACCAGTGTGAACTTCTGAGGCTTAAATTATAGGTAAGAGAAAACAAAAATACCTGTAAAGCTAAAATTTGGAGGATGCTTTCCAGTAGTTATGACCAATTCTGTAAGTAGTTCTGAGTAAGTTTAATAATAAAAAGTAGTAATGGGAATTTTAAAAAATCTGCATAAAAATCCAGGCTCGGAATAAAAAATCCAGGGTTTTGCACACATTCCTTTTACTTGCACTCTGTAGGACAAAAAAATGCCAACTACATAAAAACTTTCACATATTTCAACAGCTCTTAAAATAAACTGATTTTAATTACTGCTGAATTATAAAATAAAACCATTTCCTGGCATGTCTGTGGTTGCTCTGTGTGTATTTCATCATATCCTGATTTCCCAGCTGATTTTCCATCTAAAAATCATATTCTGCCATCTCTAAAAATTCCATGCAAAGCCATAGGATTAACACCTTACATTGCTGGTAAAATTGCCATTAACCTCATTAGGATTTGTTTTAATTCAGTGTTTTATTGCTCTTCTTTAGTAGTGGTTATTAAGTTAATTTTTTTTAATGACTTTTTCTGCAGCCAACACCTTCTGCCACTGATAAAGAATTTCCCAGAATTTTCTCCCTACAAAAAAAAAAAAACAAAACCAACACTTTTTGCAAGAAAAAAACTATAAAAAACAAAAAACCAGGCACAGAGAAATTCTTTTTGAATTTTCATCTGCTATTTCACTAGATTTTCCTGAACAAATAACTTTTATTTAGACATTTATTGAAGCAATTAAAGTCCTTTTTAGCATGATATCATTGCCATAAAGAGAACACATCCATTTGGAAATGTGGCTACTCAGATCCAGCTGTGTCTAAATACATCAGTTGATTATAAATAAGTTAATTAATTGATAAACTCACTAGCAATAAGTGAAATTAATACATATATCTCTAATTGCACCTCTTTGAGATATGCAAGGAATTCAGATTAAATGGAGAGGAGATTTGTGATTTTCTCTTTTCCATCCAGGATTTCAGCTCCTCACACTCCACATTAAATATGCACTGAGTTGCTCACATGATTATTTCAGAGGCTTGCATATTTTATTAATAACACCAGGAAAAATTAGGCTATGCTCCAGGAAAATAAGGTAATAACATTTAACCAATAGCTTCAATACAAGAAAGTTCTTTCATTTTATAAAAAATAAAAAACACAGCAGAAAAGAAGCAACCAAGCAAACAAAATTAATTTAAATAAAGAAGTGATTCAAGAGGAATGAAACAAATCTGGGAGTAATTAGAGAATGAGACTTACCATGGAAGGGCCGACTGGGTAACCTGAGCACACCAATGTCATGGAGATCCACAGGATGAAAACCAAGTTTAACCTGCATAGACTTCAAAGAAAAGCTGAGATTAATGAAAATTTGGACCAAAATCAAGCAAAATATGAACAGAGAGCGACCCATGCACCAAGAACCCCGTGGTGGCTTTACCTGCTCATTTTTTACCCAGCACTGTGCGTGTGAACATGCAGCACCACATCCAAATTCCTCACATATCCCTTCAGTTCTTCCTCAGGTGACCATTTTATACCAGAGTTCAGGAGGGAAAATGTCATCAAAGCTGATTTTATTCTGACTAATTGCTCCTTGTTTGGCCTTTTCTTCTTGTTAAATGGGAAAATGGCAAGAACACTCTCAGCTGCCATCACCAACCCCGGGGATTTCATTTAAAGTGTCCCATTAAATGTCTCTCAAGTGGTTTTATTGTTACCTCTGTGTCATCACTGCAAGCCTGGTCAGAGGTCTAAAGATTTCAAAAATCCATCTCAAGAGTTTGTTACCACTTCCAATATATCAGGTGGAGACCTTGCAAAGCCTGGCAGCAAGGGCGAAACATTAAAAGTGCATTTTAAGTAGAAAAATCTTCAAAGAGTCTTATTATACTCTAAACAGCACAATACAAAGAATAATATTTTTTCCCTATCTTTATCCCCCCCCCAATTTTTTTTTTTTTTTAATGTCCTTAGTTCTAAATACACCAAATGAAATTTTTTTCTGACAATTAAAATTCTTTGGATATTAATTTCTACTATGCAGCCATATCTCAGCCCACACTGAGTTTAGCCAATCCAAACTTCTACAAGATTAATAAACTCTGTTAATCTCATTAATAAACTCTGTTAATCTCTAGCAGCACAGCAAATGTTTCATGTCTAAAAGCATCATTTGTTGCTGCAACAAATTTAATGGTGCAGCATTTCAGGGGATTCTGTGGTTTATTTATCCAAGTGGTGTGAAAGTGCTGAATCCCACAAGGTCTAGGGATGTTGGACTGCACAGGGAATGCTGAAAAACGTTAAATTCAATTTATTTTTTCTGAGAATGAGCACCACATCTACAAAAACGTGCTGGGTTAATGCTTGGACTGGCTGATCCGAGAGCTTTTCCAGCTTTAACCATTACAGAGTTCCAAAGAAAACACTGAAGATCATTTTTTGACAGCCACAGAGTGTCAGACATGCACACAGTGAGGCACCAGCCCCGAATGTTGCATTTCCTTTGGTGTTTACACTGAAAAATCAATAGAAAAGGGCTCCAGAAGAGATCTTTGTGTGAGTCTTTGAGGAGACCTGAGCTGTTATAAGTGATGCCAAATTTCACTGCAATATTTCAGATCATTTTGAAAATCTGGAAGATCTTTTCCAACCATAATGATTCCATGGTCCTGTGATTCAGTCTCCTGATAAAATGTATTTTATTCCAGGAGCCAGAGAGCTGCGAGGAGAAACCCAGTGGCATGGAAGAGCCTTCAGGAGTTTTAAACAAAAATTCCTGATGTGATCTCAGCCTGGGGTGGGCCATTTCTCCCTCATTGTGGTGGTGCCGATCACGTCATGGCTGATGAAATCCAACGACTCTGAAATTACTTTCTAAAAAGAAAAAGTGGTTTTGAAAGAATTGTGGTTGCTGGTGAAGCTCTTCAGGATTCTCCAGGTCCACGAGGGCTGAAATGAGGATGAAATTCGCCTTATTTAAATATAAATCCATCAGCAGAACAGGTGACTATTGGCATTTCCAGCCTTATTCAGAGAGAAAATCCTCTCTTTGAATAGAACCTCCCATTCCCACCCATCCAGGACCTCCAGCTCCAAGGATAAGAGGATTAGGCTGTGCTCCTGCTGCACAGAAAAGCACTTTGGGCTGGATTCTGCCTGAGCACAGCTTAGCTCAGCTCTCATTGTGTCTGCATTTAGTCCAACTCTGTCTTAATCTGAAATTAACCTTCACACAACACTTTTTGTGGAAGGTGAGGGGCCAGAAGAGGCTGGTGATTAAATCTCAGGGTTTCCAGGTTCAGCCTGAGACTCTCTGGGTAAATTTTGGTGCATTATTGACTTAATTTTTTTAAACTGTAAGTTGTTTGAGGCCCAGGTGATCTCCCATTGGGTCTGGTCAGTCCCTCCTTGTGGCAAGCACATTTCTCTCCCTCTCAGGATTTTTCATAGAGGTGCACAGAGAGAAATGAAACAGAAAACAATTTCTATTTCTGCTCCTTGTTTTTCCCATGTGGAATGTGTTTGGAGAATTGTTTCCCTGGGGTGATTGCTTGGTTGGATTCTGGTGAGGATTGTTTGAGCCTGATGGCCAACCTGAAGCTCCCCTGCAGATGCAGATGGTACCAAGGCAGGAGTCCCTGAGCCATCACCACGGGGCCAAGGGCTTTGCCCACCCTCAGACACACACCAAGATATTTCCTGAACATTCAAACCCTCCCGTTTGCTCCTCCCTCCTTGGAGGTTCTTTTCCCAGCTTTTCAGGATGCAGTTTAACACAACATACCTGTGATTTGCTTGCATGAAGCACAGATGGAGGTTGAGCTCCATCCCAGATATTCCCACTTCAGGTTTGGAGGAATGAGGTTGAACAGAACAAGTGGCAATTGACATTTCTGTCTCCTGCTCTGTCTGCAGAGGCTCTGCTCCCAGGCTGGCTTCACTGGCAGCTACCAGAGGTCAAATGAATCATTAAGAACCACAATAAAACCTCCAAGCATCCATAAAATTTGTATTTTCTCAGAATAAATCAGCAGCAGTATCATCTCTTCCCTTCTGCTTGGCTTGTTGGAGGGATGCTGTATTGAACCTCAGTGCTGCTTTCCTTTGGTTTTCCCCCAAAAATCATATGGAACAACACAAAACTCACAGTTGAGCCCATCAAACCTTGCAAGGTTTTGAGGTTGATAAGCCTGTAAGCTTTAGGACAGGATATTTCCTTCTTCCAACCCAACAGTCAATCCAAAGTGTTTTAAATTGGCATTGTGGGACTTTACTAAAGGGTCAAACAAAAAATGAATGAACACACCTCAACCTGTCCATTGGCATAACCCCAGAAGCTGTAAAACCACAGCTCCTGATAAAGGCAAGGCTCAAAATCTCATTTCCTTCTGGGATGCTCCCAGTGAAACCTCAGCATGGCTTTGCTGGAGAAAGCTGCTGGGATATTTTGTTCTAAACCCTTTTTTTTTTTTTTTTTCTTGCTTTCAAGAATATCAAGAAAGCCAAAAGCCAGCTGGTTTGCTTTCAGCCCACTGCAAGGTGCGAGCTGGAAATCAATCACACTCCCAGCACATAAACCTGCTTCTGACTCGGTGATAATAGAAAATCCCAGCAAGACACCAAGAGAGAAGAACCACAGAAAGCAGAAAGTTCATTCCTTGGGTCATTCCCTGTGTGCTCTCACTGCTGCAAGGGGACACAACCCAACCCTTCACCTGCACCACGAGATCTCATCTGCAGAGGCACGGAGGAGCTGCAGAGCTG